GAGTGACAGCACAGCGGGTAGGGCGTTCGCCTTGCACGCGGCTGACTCGTGTTCGATTCCTCTGTCCCTCTCAGAGAGCCCAGCAAGCTACCGAGAGTATCCTGCCTGCATGTCAGAGCCTGGCAAGCTCTCTGTGGCGAATTCGATATGTCAATATGCCAAAAACAGTAACAACAAGTCTCACAATGGAGACATTACTGGTGCCCGCTCGAGCGAATTGATGAACAACGGGAGGACAGTGCTACAGTGCAGTTATTAGAAAAGATGAACAAAACTGACAGTTCTTTCACTGGAATGACTAGCAGAAAAGCAAGAAAACCCAGATTAATAAATTAGAAATGAGTGGGCAATACTACCCATTACACAGAATTGTAAAATAAGTTAAAAGAGAACACTAGCAGAGACTCAGTCGGACTCGAGCAAATAAAATACTCAGTAGGATACTAGTGGATACTTAGTAGGACACCAGTGGATACTCAGTAGGACTCTAGTGGATACTCAGTCGTACATTAGTGGATACTCAGTAGGACTCTAGCGGACACCCAGTAGTACTCTTCTGAATACTCAGTAGGATAATAGCAGACAATCAGTAGGACATTAGCAGATAGTAGCAGAGCAGATTCAGAGAATCTGCCTAGAGGGTTCTGCCTAGAGAGCACAGGGTTTCGAGTCATGGAGTGGTCAGCCACGAAGGAAGTGGCCCATGTGCCACCTTGCTGAGGCCGAGGAACACCTGCAGGAATAGTCAACAGTCGCAGCAGGGCTAGAGGCGGGAGCCGCTGCCCCATGGGCGGGGCTGCAGGAGAGCTGATGCCCTTCTGACCCAGAGTGAGCGCAGGAAGTAAAACAGGACGCCTGCTGCCCCTCCTGTTAGGGCCACACTCGCTGCTGCTCGGTCAGCGCAGTCGGGCAAGAGAGGGAGGCGTCCAATTAGCTTTTTATTTGCAGATGGCACGATCTAGAAACCCCTCAAGAATCTGCAAAACACTTGGGAGAGTAAGTTAATTTAGCAAGTTGTAAGGTACAAAATCAATATGCAAAAAGTTATATTCCTTGTAATAAAAATCAAACCATAATTCTATATAATTGCTTCCAAGTTAATGAATGTGTGAACACAGAGCATTCATAATATTCTCATCGTGTTTTTAATGGGTCTAGGAGCTATTTCATTCCTGAGATTGACATCTGTGTTGTGTTTGTTTGGTTTTTGGGCCACACCAATCACTCCTGGAATCGAACCTCGGTTGGCCTTGTGCAAGGCAAGTGCTTGACACGCTGTACTATCCCTGGTCCTATTGTTCTCTCTGACCCCAGTTTTGCTAGAGATTTATCAATGTCACTGATTTTTTTCCAGATGACCAGTTTTTATTTTCATAGTTTTTGCTTTTCTCCTTTCAATTTATCTGGTTTTCTGTTCTTCTCATTCTCCTGCTTGTTGTGGGGACTATTTTGCTCTTGTTTTCCAGGTTCTTGAGGTGGCATTACAGATTAGAAACATCTCGCCCTGTTAAGAGTGAGCATTTACTGCCTGGCATCTCTTCCTTGGTGGGCTGCGGTAGGTGTGTTGCTACTGTGACTCAGTTGCGGTTATCTCTCTCCAGACTTCCTCTTTGACATGCAGCAACTTGAAGTATGTTTAAGTTCTCAAACATCAGAGATTTTCCTACTGTTTTTCTGTTACTGACTATTGGTTTACCCTCACGATGATCAAAATTCATACTCTGTAGAGTCTGATTCTCCCAAATTTGTTGAAGTTCCGGCCAGAGACAGCTCCATGAACCTCAACAATTTTTGACTTTTTTCCTGTTTGTTTTGGGGCCACCCTACCATGTGGTGCCGGGACAGGAGCAGCCTCCTGCAGTGCTCAGTCTGTGGAGCAGTGTCTTGGCCAGGTGCACTTTTGTCAATCTCTTGTTTTAATTGCTGAGTTCAGGTCACTGACATTAACACTGGCTGCAGATCGGCTGCTGCTTCACTCTGCCAGTTTTCCCTTGTTCTCTGTTTCCAATTCCTCCCTCTTTTGTTGCCTTCTGATGGCGACTTGAACAACTTTTAGAATCCTACTTGTCCACAGCGACTGTGAGTGTTATAGTGTTCAGCTTCCTTAGTGGCCCAGAAGCTACTGAAATGTCTGTCGCCTACTGTGCTGTTCATTGGTCATCACCTCTTCTGAGACCATGGATAGGCTGCTTCCAGGCAGGTCACTGGCCTCCTCCATGCTGGCTGGGAGCAGGACACACGGCTGCCATGGTCTAGCCCTGAGGGTGGCTTAAGAGGATATGTGTGTGTGTGGTGGTGGTGGTGGTGGGGCAGGGTACGGCCACAATGGCCATCTGTACCCACTCCCTGGCCCTTCCTCAGGCTGGATGGTCCAGGCCTCCTGCTGTGGCCACATTCTTTCTTTGGAAGTTTCCTGAACCACTCTTCTCGGTGGCTCTCTGAGCAACTCCCTTGGCTTTACTTTGTCTGACAAATGTCTTGATTTTCTTTTCATCCCTGAAGGATGTTTTTCACTGGCTGACAGTTCTCTTCTCTTGGCGCTTGAAAAATGTTATGTACCTCGTTCTGGCTTCCAAGGTTTCAGATGAGAAATTCGCTGTCACTCAAACTGGTGTTGCCTGAAGATAACAGTGTTTCTCTCTAGTCCCTTTCAACATTTTCCCTTTGTCTGGAAGTTTCAGAAGATTAATTAGCATGAGCCATGATGTGGATTTCTTTGGCTTCAAACTGTGTGGGGCTCACTCTGCTCCTTAAATCTGTTGGTTTATGCCCTTCACCATATTTGGGAACTTTTCAGGAATTATTTCTTTAGGTATTTTTCCAGCCTTCCCCGGCTGGGACTCCAATTAAAGGGATGTTTGTCTCCCGACTGCCCAGCACATCCTCAGGCCATTCTTGTCTGTCTATTTCCAAGCTGCTGTTTTCAGGAGAAAATTTCTATTGATCTCAGAGCTCGAAAATTCTTTCCTCATTGCTAATCTACCATTGAACCACTCAGGGACGTTCTGTCCAGTTCTGCAATTCCCATTTGGCCTTTTTCTCTGTGACTTCTACTTGTATTTTTGTCATTTTTCTAACTGGGGTGCAGTGATTTGGATGAGTTGGGGTGAGCCCATCCTGCCACAGGCGCTGGGTCCCACCAAGGGCATCTCCCCTGGGTGCACAGCCCTGGCATGGGGACAGGCGGATTGTCTGATCCCTTTTGTCCTCACTGGGGTCCCCGGAGCTGCGAAATGGGGCGGATGCCTGGCCTGGCTTGGCACAGCTCCTGCGGACAAGGATAGCTCTCTGGGCGAGCCCATTTATACTGTGGAGCAGGGTGCAGTGGGACCTACCCCGAGGCTGAGTAGGATAGGCGCGCACTCTGCCAGCTGGCCTAGTGAGGCAGGAAGGGCTGCTGGCCATGGGACATGGGGCAGTGCTTGGCACTCTCTCCCCAAGAAGCTAGGGAGCACCAGGGCCCCAGGTCCTGGTCTCCTGCTGCTGAGTCAGACGTGTCACCTGCAAACAGGTGGATTGTGCCCAGCGCCACACACACTCAGGTCAGGGGAGGCCTGCTGGCTACCCCCACCAGCTCCAAGGCTGAGAGGAGCCCCGTGGGGCCTAGGAGAGGCTGTGCCCCACCCCACCTCCCACACTGTGTACAGACAACACACTCCAGGCTCCACGGGCAGGTGTGGACCAGAGGCCAGCCTCCTGTGGCTGGCTGCGTCATCCCAACAGGACGAGCTCGGGTCTGAATGTGAGAGACATCAACGGGGAACCTTTCTTCTGGAGGAAAGAATGAGAATGAATGAAGCCAAGCACCTGGCATGCCGTGAGGGGTGGGACCGCCCCAGCATTAGAGGGGCGGGCTGGCCCGCCCTGCGCCCCAGAAGGAGGCACTGCTGTGACCCCGGAGTTGATGCAGGACAAAGGTCTTCATGACATGGCCACCCTACTTTACGAAGGCAAAGTCCTATGCACCCCCAGGTTCACCCACCTGCACCCCACCTTGGCCAGTACACTTCTGCGGGCATCATGGACCCCAAGAGTCATAGGAGCCTGCCCTCCTGACAAGGGTCTTCATCACACACCGGCACTCTTCCCCAGTTGGGGCAGTGGGCGGAGTAGGGGGGGATGGAGGGTTGCTGTGCCCTGCAGGAAGGCCTCCGGCAGCTAGGACCTGCCAACCCCGAAGGCGCACAGATGCAACCAACACCCTCTCTAGGCCCCAAGACAGAGGTGGCAGCTGCTCAGCCCCCAACCGGCAGTTGCACGGCCCAGACCCATATGGAGGCCCAGGCTAACGCCAGACGCCTCAGAAACAACAGTGGAAAAAACCCAGAAGCCACCCGGCCTTTGCACTGGCAGCACCGCCAGTGCAAAGTACTTGGCCGCACTACCCAGACCGTGGCAGGACATAGCCCAGCCTTCTGGGCCATGGCAGCAATCAGGACCTTCCAGCATGTGGTGAGGCCACGCCTCCTCCCAGGGACTTCTGAGCCCTGGACAGGGAAGGAGTGGAGGGAAGCCCGCGGGCAGTCACCCAACTCTGCAGGGCACCAACATGCCACCGGTCACTTGCAGACTCAAACCTCAGGCTGCAGAGCAAGAATGGGCTTTTAGAGGATCGCCCTGAGATTCTCCTCTCTCTAGGCAGGACCTCAGGGAAGGGCAGGCAGGCCTGGGAAGGTAACAAGGTGCAACGTCCCATGCTGGCCAGCTCTCCCTAAGCACCCGGAGATGCAGCTCAGTGGCTTCACTGGCCTTCACGACGTGGGTAGCGTCTGACCCAGCAGGACAACACCTGCTCCGATCCCGGTCCCAGGGGTCACTGGGGCCATTCCCACACCTGTTTCCTTGGCAACAAAGACACACCCCACCCGACAGCACGGAGGCACATTCATCCCTCTTTCTCCTGGACCCGCAGAGGCCGTGGGGTGCTGGCCAGGGAGAACCCTGACAAGGCTTAGCCTGGAGACAAACACACAGCAGAGCAAAGGGGACGAGAGGCCTACCTGAGCCAGCCCGTCTCCTCCTGGGTCATCTGGAAGCCTTGCTCTGCACAGCCGGCCTGGGCCTGCAGCATCTTCAGTTCCATCTCCAGCTGTGGGGGACATGGGACAGGCGGGGTGAGCTGGTGGGCCTGGGAAGGGTCAAGTTCTTTCTGAGTACCTTCGGGTTGTCTGGAGGCAGGTGGAGGGTCAGACCTCAGGAGGGAGTCACACAGTGGGAGGAATGAGACCTGATGGGGCCAGCTTAGCGGGACCAGAGTGTACGCCTTCATGCTCAGCTGACTGCCAACCCTGCCCGTGGCGGGCTCCTGAGTCTTGGAGCTCATCTTCTCCCCCACTGAAGCAGACAGTTCTTTGGAGACAAGGTAACAGGCTCTGGCCAGCAAGGGTGGTTTTCCTGGGGCCTCCCCAGCTCTCCTCTCCTCTGCCTCCCATCACTAAAAACCAGGCGACGGAGCCAGACGCAGGGCTTCCTCCCCGCAGCCCTGACCTCTTTATCCCCTCTTCCTAGCGCCGACAAGCAGTCAGAGATCACGGGCATGGTGGTGACACTGCGCACCCTGAGGAACTCGTGGGTTCCCTGTTCTTGGTTTATTCGTCTTGGTTCTGGGCACACCTGGTGATGCTCAGGGATTACCTTTGACAGGGGCTTGGGGAACCACATGGGCTGCCGGGGATAGAATCAGGGCCGGCCATGTGCAAGGCCAAGCATCCTCCCCATGTACTTCTGCTCCAGCCCCTCCCGTGATGTCCCTGGACCCAGATCCGGGATTTCCTTATTTATGGCACGTCTGTTTTACCATGCTGAGAGAAACTACCCCAATAGCTGTCTTTCATTCAGAGCCTTTGAAGTGTGGGAGATGTGGCTCGGTGGCACAGTACACGGCTCACATGTGTGAATCCTGGGTGTCATCTAATGCCTGAAGGTGACTGGGCAATCAATCAGTCTGTCCTGACGTTGTCTGGACGTGCTGCTCGGAGTCGACACAGCCTCCTGGCCAAATGCCCCCTCCCTGACCAGTTGGCCCTGTGGCTTCGTGCTCTGATCAGTTGGGAGGACCCCAGGAAGCAGACAGGGCAGACATTTTGCTTCCTTCTGTGCCCTAGGGAGGGCTGGGATGGTTACTTTAGTGACAATTCAAAACACAAATGGTCTGTTTGACAATTCTCTTCCCACACTATTGGTAGGCTATTTTTTCTAGAAAATGTTTAATTTCATTCTTATGTTTAAACTTGTTTCAGTGGAGTTGTGGTAGAATTCCCAGTTCTTTTCACAAAGGTCAGTGGAGCTCATTGTTATTTTTATGTTTTAAAATTCTTGTTTTATTTTCTTTTCACTGAGGTGAGACTCATGGCCCGTGCCCAGGGAGCCACAGGCCATCATCTGTAGCACCAGAAAACTGCCCCCCAGTCAACAATACCAAGGTCACTGTCACTGTCACTGTCCTCCCATTGTTCATCGATTTGCTCGAGTGGGCCCAGTAACTACTATTATTCCTTCGTCCTAGTGATGAGGTTTTCCATAGATTTTCACCAGCACTGTAACTCCTATGTTTCACTAGTTTCATTTCAAAGCATAGGCATTTGAGTTTATTATTTCTCCCACTTTTCACTTTCTCACTCACTTCTCCTTTGATCTTTACAAATTCCTAGTTTTTGCTTTACTGAGGTTTATTTTGTTTCTTTTTTTCATTTCTTGAGCGGGACATTTAACCCATATAGAGTTATTCTTTGTTGCTCAATATTATAAATATTTAAGCTGTTATTTTTCTTCTGTGTGGAACTTCAGCTGTGCCCACAGGCTCAGATTAGAAGCTACGATTATTTTCTAGATTTTATGCACCACTGAACCACATTTCTTCTTTGACTCAATAATTGTTTGAAACAAGATTGTGTCCTTTTTTAAAAAAATTTTTAATTCTAAGTGTTAGAAGTTTTTGTTCTTAATTTCAAATTTCATCACATGACCCAAAACTATTGTATTTGTTCTATTTGAACTGATACAGATTTCATTTTCTAACCAATGGATGGTTACATTTTGGAGTTTATTTCATTTGAGCACCTTGAAATCAAGTTATTTCAGGGTTACGGATGCATACGTCAAACACATTTTTTGCTTTTTGTATTATTCTTTGCCCACTTTATTAATGAAGCAAATTCTTCTATTACTATGCTCTTATGCTCTTTCCTTCTTTGTTTTTGGGCCACATCCAGCAGTGCTCAGCAATCACTCCTGGCTCCTGGGAGGGGTTGGGGCACCATCTAGGGTGCTGGGGATGACCCCAGGTTGGTTACCTGCAAGGATTATGCCTCCCCCACTGCCCACCCATGGTTACTGTGTCCTTCCTAATGACGCCCCGGCTGCTCTGCCCTCCTTGGGAGACTGGTCCCACTGGCTGTTGTATCCCCAGACCTGTGGCATGGGTCCAGCTGCTCTCCTGGGTTCCGAGGTCATTCCTGGGAGCCCAGTCAGAAAGTTTCCTTTTTTAAAATTTTTGTTTCTGGGCCACACCCAGTAATGCTCAGGGGTTACTGCCGGCTCTTTGCTCATGAATCACTCCTGGTGGTGCTCGGGGGACCAGCAAGCGCCTTCCCCGCCATCTTGTTGCTCGGGCCCGGAAGTATTCTTTGAACAAGAGAGCTCAGCTCACCCTTACTCTGACAGAACTATGTGCACGTTTACCTCTGCTGTATTGTTTTGTTTCTGTCTTGTTTGCTTCTGTGTGAACCTGTCTGGCTGGACAGACGTTTGTTCCAGCTGCTGCAGATGGATTCTGCATAAGGTCTGAGTGAGTCTGTGGCAGTCCTGCTCATCTCCAGGACAGAAGCCCAGCCTGGCCGACAGCCCCTCTCTGGACCTGCTCCAGGAGGAAGGCACCTCCCGGCCTGAACTCCCTTTGGCTACAAAAGCAGGAAAACCAAATTTCTGGGGTTTTCTCCAAAAACTTTCATAGGATATGCAGATTCTGCATCTCCAGGGCAGAGAATGCTGGGGGTTCACTGTGGCCAATGCTAGCTTTATGGCCTCGCTCTCACCTACTCAGGTCCTGTGGCTGCCTAGCTCGGTGGGTCTACCAATGGCCAAGCTGGAGTTCTTGGCAAAGGACCTGAGACCGCACATGTCAGCACCTGTCTCCCCCCAGAAATGGTCTCCCCTTCCTCTTGAGAACTGTGGGCTGGGGCGCTGGCACCACGTGAGGCGGGTCCACACCCTCCCACTGCACCAGGCTCTGGGTGGGCAGGACTGACTGCCATCAGTTGACACTTTGTGTCCTGGAGGGTTCACCTGACCCTCAAAAGGAGGCTGGGACACTCTAGCAGATGCTTCCCTGTCTCCCACCATGGCGAATCTGAATGGGGGTCCCCATCTAGTCCCAGGACTCCTGGCCCTCCATCCTGAGCCAGTGGCTGAGCATGTGGCTGCCCCGCAGGGTGTGCCCAAGTCAGGTCTGCACCCCTCAGCATCTGAACTCCACCTGCCATCCAGACTCACTCACCCTCAGCACTGCTCTCCTCACCCCCGGGAGCCTGTGACATTTGCGGCTGAGGAGCACTCTGGGTTTGAGCAGGTGGTTTCCATCCCTGTTCCTAGCTCAGAACCAGCCTTGCAGGCCCCTACACTTGTGCCAGGGTGCCATGCTGGGCACCGCACCCCCAGTGGGCGAAGAGCAGGTAGGTAGGATGCACAGCTGCTCAAGGGTGGCTCCAGGTGCCGGAGCAGGGGCTGGGCCCAGTCGGAGCCCAAATCCGCCCCAGCACCACTGGGACCCGAGCATGGCCATGGGTGGCCTCAGGGCCCAAACCCCCAACTGTCAGGGAGGCCCACGCCCGGGGAGACCCACTTGGTCAGGCTGAGCATCCCTGGGAATGGCCCTGGACCACCAGGATTGCTGGGTGCAGTCCCATTGTACAAATAAATAAAATGCAGAGTAAATATGCAGGGAATTAACTGGATCCAGAAAACAGCTCAAGATGTTTGCCGACTACTCACCCAACTGAAGAAACTGTCCAAACACTAAATTCTGAAAGGGCGGCACTTCACAGGAGGCGGGCCCTGCCTCTGTCCTCCTTTCCTGTCATGGCTCAGCTAGTGCTGGCCTGTGCTGCTCACAGCATGCTCAGACACACCTGCACACAGACACACACGCACACACACACACACACACACACCTGCACACACATGCATACACACTCATGCTCTCACTCTCTCATTCTCTGTCACATGGCCACATTCATGCACACTCCTGCTCACACACACCCTGATACACTCACATGGGCACACTCTTGCTCACACATACTCTGGCACACACACACGGCCACACTCATGCACATAGACACCCTGGCACACGCACACAGGCACACTCATATGGGCACTCTCATGCTCACAGACACCCTGGCACACTCACTCGTACACACCCTGGCACACTCACACGGGCACACTCACGCTCACAGATACCCTGGCATACTCACACAGGCACATTCATGCTCATACTCTAGCACATGCACCTGGGCACACTCATGCTCACAGACCCTGGCACACTCATGCTCATATACACCCTGGCACATGCACATGGGCGCACTCATGCTCACACATGCTCACCCTCATGTTCACATGCTCCCACAAGCCCCTAAAGTTACATGTGGGCTTCCTCACATGCTTCAGTCTCCTGCACGCTTCTCTGTCCACTGCTGCATGTAACTGAGCCCACCTCACCCCTTCATCATGGGCTGGGGTGCCCTAGGACTCCTTCCCCAACCCTCTGGACCGGCCGTTGGGTAGGAACCCATCCCGTCCCATTCCTGGCTTTGCCAGAAGCTGTGCTGCCCAGTGCTGCTGGCTGGCACGGAGAGAAAAGCACAGTGCAGAGGCATTAACATTGCAGCCAGCAGCCACTGTCCACACTTCACTGAGGAAACTCTATACTTAGAGCTGGTTAAAGCAAAGAACACCAGGACTAACTGGGTGACATCTGTGGAGAGCCCCTGCTAAATGACCGAGACTCCTTAGTCCCCACTCTGCCTCATCTCAGCAGGAAAATCCCCAGAGCAGGGCAGGCGTCGGGCTGGTCTGGGGTGCAGGTGCCAGGGCCAG